TCAACCAATACTCCAGACTCTCAAAATCTGATTTTAAAGTCACATATCTTCCTAAAAGACAGCTCACAAAAGCAAAATGGGTCCCATATTACTCAGATATTTATAAAACAACAACAAATCTGGACCAAAATCTTAACTTCAAAACACTGAATGATATAATACAAGAAGCAGCAGAACAATACATTCCCAGAATGCCGGAAAACAGCAGAAACAGAACAGGAAACCCTTGGTGGGACAAAGAATGCAGCCTCAAAATAAAAGAGAAAAAAATTGCTCTAAATAAATACAACAGTCAGCCCTCCATGGAAAATTATCTCAACCTGAAACATACCATTGCAAAAGGCAGAAGATTTTTCAAAAAGAAAAAAAAGGCGAAATTTTTAAAGTACTTTGCTACCCTGAACAGAAACTCTGAGGTCAAGGAGATCCGGAACAAAATCAGAAAATTGGCCGGAATATACTGAAAAAAAAATTAAAACGCCAAACAACACCTTTTGAACGCAAATCCTAAATAATATGGCAACCACAGATATAGTCGCAGAATTTGACATCAAAAGAACAACAAAAATACAGAAATTTAATACACATGAACTTAATGCCGCTATAAGGAACAGGAAAGATTCGGCTCCTGGAATTGATGGGGTTTCTTATTCCATGATAAAAAATCTACCCATCAATGCAAAGGAAGCCCTTCTTAACATTTACAACAGCATTCTGGATGGAAAAGAGCTTCCTACCAATCTCCCTACTGCCTGGAAAGAATACCTAGTAATGCCAATAAACAAACCTGAAAAGAATCCTGATCATGTAGAAGACTACAGACCAATAATCTTGGCTTCCTGCTATCTCAAAGTTATGGAAATAATGTTGAAAAATAGGTTTGACTGGCAGATAGAAAATAAAAAAGGATTTCCTCCGTTCCAAACTGGATTTAGGAAAAAATCCAGCGTTCACAACAGCCTGGCATATCTCATCACTTATATCAATCTGGCATTTGCGCAAAATGAAGCGGTCGTGGCCATATTCCTGGACATCAAATCAGCATTTGACGCAGTTAACATTCATAAACTCTACAAAAAACTTATATATTACAATATTCCCACAGAAACCTGCAACACCATATTCAAAATATTAAATAACTGACACCTCTACATTAGAAGCATCCAAAACGACATAATTGGACTGGTGCACGCATCCAGAGAACTCCCTCAAGGCTCACCACTTAGCACAATTCTATTCAACATAAACATGAAGGACATCTTTGAAGTATTGGACAGGGAAATAGTCACTATGCAGACGTCATAGTCATTTTTACAAAAGGAAAAAATATTCCCATTCTCATAAACAAGATGAATGCGGCTTTAGGAAAAATAAATATTTGGCTCACAAATAATGAACTTACATTATCTCCAACAAAATACGAGCCAATTCTCTTTACCAAAGTCAAAAGGAACGGGCTTTTCCCCCCGATAACTATTCAACATCAACACTTAGCATTTTCAGAATCAATTAAATACTTGGGAATGATAATAATTAGTCAACTTAACTGGAATAAACACATCGAATATGTCAGTCAAAAAGCCACGAAAGGCATTAATATTTTGAAAACGTTTGGCAAAGTGTGGTGGGGGGCGGACCCCCAGGCTTTGCTAAACATACACTACGCAATTGTTATGTCCTATTTAGAATATGGGGCATTCCTTCTTAACCTGAATAAAAAAAACTTTAACAAAATCAAAACTCACTGAGAATAGTCCTTGGATGCACCAAATCAACCCCAACAAACGCACTCTTTGCAGAATCCAATCAAATGGAGTTCTTTAATTTCAGGCAGTTATATGGTTGGGAATCAAGTTTTTCATCAAATCAAAATCCATTACATGAATAATGAAAACTACTAGAGAAGAAAGGACATACCCTATCTGGTCCAAGCTTTTAACTTCTTTTTCCCTTATAGGAACAAAATAGAAAAAAATTATATTTTTTAGTTTAGAAAATATTATACATTCATATATACTGACGGATCAAAAAAGGATCTTGAAGCTGGTTTTGGCATGCACTGTCCCGCCTTAGAACATACTTTCAGTTGCAGACTGCCTGATGGGTTCAACATCTGTTCAGCTGAAATAGTAGCCATACAAGAAGCCATCATATTCACAGTCAAAAGAAACATCGAAAAAGCAATCATATTCACAGACTCTAAAAGCGCAATAGACATCCTCAATCAAAATTTCATGAAACCGGATATGAGTAGCTTGGTCCTGAGAGCCAAAGCGTTATTGATTGCAACATATGAAACAGGCTATGACATTAAACTGGCATGGATTCCCAGCCACGCTGGAATCCCTGGCAATGAAACAGTTGACAAGTTGGCTTATGTTGGGAGAAAACTTAAGGTTCCAAAAAACCTACCACTAAACAAAAATAACATTTTGGCCTCCATCAAAGGAAAAATTTCGAAACAGCACGAATTGGCTTGGTAAGGCTCCCTCAAACAAAAAGGCAAGTGATATGCCCTTGTACAGGACAGCTTTCCTAGGTCAACAAGATTTAAAAAATTCCCTTATATAGACTGACGACATATTACCGTAATAACTAGAATGAGAACCGGAACTTTCCTTTCTAACGAATACCTGCACAGAATAGGCAGAAAAGACTCCCCAAATTGCGAATGCGGCCAGACCGAAGATTTAAACCATATCTTCTTTGAATGCCCAATCAATAAAATAGTAACGTGGACATTGGCAAATCATGGAGTTCGGACATCCGGTACCTCTTTCAATGATTACTGCTCGGGGAAATTTAAACACTAATACAATAAAAAGTTTAGTTTAGTCAATTTTTGACATGACGCTTCCTAGATAAATAACTACCTAATTAATGATTGTCATTGTCATTTCAAACCATGAATTCATTTTAATAAATCTTGACATTTTTTCAGGTTTTGATATCATTTTTCAGGGATAATACCACATAATACCACGAGAGCTTCAAAATTAAGGATAATTTTTCACGATTCAAAAATGTCCCAATGAAACCTATTTTTTTTTTTTTTTTTCATGTAACGCAAAATGAGCTCTTACCAATCAATGAAAAAAAATTAAAAAAAAGATCAATGACGTCATATCTTGGAGAGGAATTATTTTTTCTCCTATATCTCTGCGTACACATCTTCTTATACCTATTTCCAAAATTTCATCAAATTCCATTGAGCCGTTTTCTCAGAAACATGTCAACACGCACACATACATACATACATACATACATGCACACATAAACACAGACGGAAATGTACCACCTTGCCAAAAAGGCCTTAAATGATCCAAAACGTCAAGATTTCGCTCCTCATATACGGAAAGTGTCAATTAAGAACGACGGATAATATGCTTCCCTTTGGTCAAAGGCTGACTTTAAAATATTTATTTTTAACGATTCTACAATAATTTGAAAATTGGCCGCACCCCGAAAATGACCGTAAATAAATCCGGAACCGTGCATGAAAACCCTATGAAAATATACAGTGTGTTCTGATGTGTCACACTTTTTTGACACCCCCTTTATATGCGCCAATACAAAAAAAAAAACAAATAAATGACTTAAATTTAAACCCTACAACTTTTGTGTAAGACTTTTTGTCATAAAATATCTAGATTTCCATAGACCAAGATAGGACGAAATAAACGGGCCACCCTGTACTCTGTAGGTACTTTGTTATGAACGAGTGAAATCTGGAACTAAATACTTAAATTTTTATTTATTTTTTTCAATTTCTATTGGCATCAAAAACAACAGCTTATAACTACATATATCCAAAATTACCTATTTATTAATAACAATAACATTATTATTAAATGTGCAGGTTGTCGCATATTCTAAATTTATCACAGATCCAGCAAACTCAAGGTGAAAATGTCCACTAGCACGTTTTTACGACTTTACAAAATTACCTCGTCGGCAATTTATTGTGTTCCAATGTAATATAATACTCGCGCTTACGATAACGTTTATTATTACTTCATGAGTCAATTTCTCAATAGCGAGTCACGTCCGGGTTGATTTTAATTGCAGGATAAACATGTCCAGTTACAATGCTTAACCCTGGAGTTATGCCTAACCCGGGGATGATTTGCTATTGAAAAACCGGCCCTATGAGGTACTCCGTCAAGATGAAACCGTGATTAAGTTTTCGAGCCGGGACGTAACTTGATGTAGAGGCAACGGAACGACGCGGTAACTAGCGCGATCAGGTTGACACTGTTTTACGTCGTAGATTTTGCGACTTGCGTTGCTTGTATTCACCGCTGGACACACATTCCTTGAAGTTGCGCATTGCGCTCGTTTCCGCGGCTATAGACGATGATGCAACAGCTTTGTTCCAACCCACCAGGAAACCGTACATTTTACCGTCAGGATTTTGCGGAGAATCCGGTAGAATCCGAAATTCGCATACAGAGTGGTTCTAAAACCTTTCTTGAGACGGTTTTTTGGAGGGTTGGAACCGTTTCAACAGACCTAATTATCCATGAAGCGATATTTCCATTTTTGAAGGGTCTTTAGGCAATTTTTTTGCGAGGATAATCAAACATAATCTCATTATGCTGGATTATGTGATATGTCAATAATTGTGCGTTAACTCCCTTTCCATGGGCCTGCGAGTAACGTCACTATCAGCAGGTTATAGCGATGACGTCACCCGCAGACCTCGATGGAATGCTTGCTATTCAGGCTGCTGGTGAGGTAATTTTTTCGTCAATTTTAAATGTAGAAAAGGTGATTTTCTGTCTGTTCTCACATAAGAAATTAAGTGTTCTTGATCCTCGAGGATTCCAGAATTTGATGGTGGGGAAGTTAGGGGAGTCGGGTTTCTCAATGTTATATTCTTGGTCCTTAAATGATATACTTACATATTTGCGTTTAATCTTATCTTGTATTTTTTTAAATGCGATCAATTCGATTTCGATTTCATTGGATTTGTAATTACATTGACGTAAATTTTACAGGTTGGGTCAGACAATTTGTAGTGGTCTGCGACTTCAAGCTCTTCCTCTACGACATATCGGCCGACCGGAACGCCTTGCCCAGCGTCCACGTGGCCCAAGTATTAGACATGCGAGACACGCAGTTTAGCGTTAGCAGCGTCAAAGACTCTGACGTAATTCACGCCAACAAGAAAGACGTGCCCTGTATTTTTAAGGTAAGAATATTTGAGTACAATTTTTTGTAGATAACATCTTAAGTATGTTTTCTATCATGCAGATTACAACATCCTTGATGGAACCTCCAGGACCAAGAAACGCCATGCTGATGCTGGCCGATTCGGAAGCGGAAAAGAACAAATGGGTTGTGGCCTTAGCGGAGCTGCACCGCATAATGAAACGAAACAACCTGCCCAACACCACAGTGCTTTTAGCTAGGGAATTGATCGATAATTCTTTGGCGTTGCTCAAAAACACCCTTAGTTCGGCCATTATCGATCCGGATAGGATCGTTTTGGGTACCGAGGAAGGGCTCTATTGTATAGATTTAGATAGGACGGAAATAGCCAGGATTGGAGAGGCCAAGAAAATTTTTCAAATTGAGTATATCAGTGAGGAACATTTGTTGGTAAGTGGGTATTGGGTTGTCTTATAGATAATGAAATATAATGCCTTGGCCTTGTGATCTTATTTACAATTAAATCTTTTTGTTTTCCCTTATCTGCGTGGGGTTTTTCAATATTGTGAAAACATTTTAAATTTTCTAATGTATCTAGTATTCTAATGTATCTACATTTTCCAACTAATTATAGTTAATTTTGAAATTGAATGTTTTTATTTTAGGTTGTAGTTAGTGGCAAACAACGCCAAGTGAGATTAGTGCCTATAAGAGCCTTAGACGGCGACGATACGGAATGGATTAAAGTGACAGAAAGTAAAGGGTGTGCGGTGTTAACGGTAGGACCTGTACTCCGAGCACCTCTTACTTTCTGCCTATGCATTGCCATTAAAAAACAAGTAAGCATCCAATAATAAAAAAATAACTAAGTAACAAAAATGATGTTTGTTTTTACTTTAGAATTCTTCAGTGATAATAATCTATGAAATAACCAGGACGAGGTCTAGGCATCAGAAGGTACGCGAAATTGGCATACCAGTCAATGTACAGGCACTACAAATCCTCTCTGATGGACGTCTTTGTGTTGGATCGCCATCCTGCTTCACTGTTTACAATATCCAAAGTGGCGATTCGTTCATTTGTAAGTAATGTATCATTCAACGTGCTATATAACTATTTTTTATTAACATATTGATAATATTTTTTAGCTTTGCTTCATCCAGAGAATCCTTTGTATGCCACTATTACTTGTAGCGCTGTCGAAGCCCTTAGAGTGATAGAGTTGCCCAGGCGCGAGTACCTTTTAGTTTTTGGAACTTTGGCCGCTTATGTGGATAAGCATGGTCGAAAGTCCCGGGATCGCGAGATTATGTACCCTGCTGTACCAACTGCCATTAGTAAGTGTTGTGTTAATCTGTTCAAATATCTATTTACTCTGTAATTACTAGTGATTAGTGATGTTAAATTTCCGAAACATTCAAAAGCCGCGAACATTCTCAGAAACTTTCCGGGAATATTGGAACTTATGGGAACTCATGGAAATATTGTTTTTTTTTTTTTAAATGTATAGCTAAATCAGACAAATCGTAGTAAGCTTTATTTACCCATTATTGTAGTGTACTGACTATAGACTCCTATTTTTTTCTGAAAGATCAGCAAAAATTAAACTATGTAGTAAAAACACTTTTATGGACGGTTGAATAAGGCTTTAAAGGAAAAGCCGATCCAATTAACCCAATGACTCAGCTCTTTATTTTTTATCTTTCTTAAATGAAGATTATTTTAAAAAAAGACAAACTGCAGGTACCTACATACATCAGCTGGTGATCGGGTAAATCGGATCAGCGTTTCTGTAAAGACAGTTGGACTGGGCTACGTCATCCACATAAATTGAAATGACCTCACTGAGACCTTGTATTCGCAATAATCTTGCATTTTTATAAAATTCTTCTGGAAAGTTCTTGAAAATATTCTCGAAAGTTCTCGGAAATATTCTTTTGAGAGTTTTTGATTGAAAGTTTCCGGGAATATTCTCATTCAGGAGAACGTTTCCATTTTTAATCGGCGAATATTCTCGGAAATTTCCCAATGTTCGCGAATATTCGCCTCGACTCACATCACTAGTAATTACTCTTTATTTTATTTATTTATTATTTAACGGGCCTCCATCTGTTCTTGTTATAAATCTAGACATGATACAAATAGGGTGAAAGTCCTGCGAATATATTAATAATTCTATGGTAAAGTTGATGAAATTTCTGAGTTACTGAGATCAAACATTTTGTTGGTCGGCACATGAAGGTCTTGGATCTTTCTTCTGGATGTCAGAATAAAAAGTTGTTATATTTTGGTCAGTTTTTAAAGGGCTGTAATACATTCTGGAATACTCTCTCCATCGCCTTGAATTCATTTAGAAAAACAATAGCGATGACACTGGACATTAGTTGTAAATGATCAGATAATACTTTGATCAATAATCTATTCAATAATGTAGGATTTTTATCGTTGTCTAGGGGTATTTTGGGGCAAGCAGAAAATCAAACGTAACGGTCCATTGAAAATATAAGGAATTTTAATAATATTTACGAAGAATAGATAGATTAGATGATAGATAAATACGTCATTGATAAATATACAATTGGCACGGTAAATCACAATAACAACTTCACAACTAAGTATAGGTACGTCTTCACGACCACGTCTTGGTCGTTTTACGGCTTTAGAAATATACGTCTTGATAATTAATTGAACGTCGCGTCTTAAATTTACCCCGTCTAGGAAAAATCTGGCGGCCGTCTTCCGCCTTTAGCGTTCAATTAACGATTGACCCTCTCTTTAATATTATTCGTTCGTGGCTAATTCCCCACTGGCGCCGTGCCATTCGGTGCCACCCTGTTACCGTCGCGAGTCGCTCCCGCTCGTATCTTTTATCCTCTTCTATCAACCTATATAGAGATATTCCCTTTTCGTCGCACTGTTGCTACCCTGAGATCCAGCGCGCCTCGCCTATTCAACCATGACGGTACAGTCTATGTAAAAATAAATAGGTACAGTCGGAAGAGAATTATTTGGAGAAATGAAGAAATATAATATTTACATAATTACAAACGGAAAAAAATACTTATACCTATAAATACAAACACAGATACCGATTAGGTTTCGTACCCTACAATAACAATTTACAGCTTTATGATTACAAATAATATTATGTACTTGAAACTATCTAAATTATAGGAGGCAAAAAAAAAACCCTAGGTGCTGTATTCGCTCAATATTATTTAATAATACTAATAAAATAATGTTATAGGAGTGAATACCTATTGAAATTAGAAATAATTAGCAGCCAAACAAAAGAAAAAAAAATTGATTACCTACCTAAACTTTACCCAGAGTTGTTTTTATAAAAGTGCATATTTATACAGGGTATCCCGCCAGAAACCAAATCGATTTTTACATATGTATATGAAAAACTATACAGAAAATTGGAAATTGAAAATTTGACATTATACTAATGTGAATAGGGGCAACTCGGCTGAAATATTTTCAAGATGGCGGCTCTTCCGGTTATACCGGAAGTAGACGTCAAAAAACACTCTATTATGTGATTGCATTTATTTGGATTCGACGTAAAATGCTGAGCAGATTTTATGTGATATACCTATACCTTATACCTAAGTTCAATTGTTTTGGAAATATTGACAGTTGGAAATTGATTTTTTACAACTTTGACAAGCTGTAAAACCTAAACGATTAATTTCACAGGAAAACCGATTTTACATTCCTTCTTAGATTTTCATAAACTATCATTTGACACCACAGACCTAATAATACTAAGAGACCCAATTGTTTACATTTTTAGGGTTAGCCATCATTGTCCCTTCCACTTTCAATGCCTATACAACCGTAGCCAAATTTACAAATTTATCGGAAATATATGGGTAAATTTATTACAAATAAGATAAAACTTGAGCGATTTTAATATAATTTGCATGTATTTGTCACCATCTAATAAAAGATAATCATATAATTTATTTTGGTAATTAATTGGTTAATTATCAAATTAAATTTTTCAATATAACGTATATTATTTTGAAAATAATTATTCTCATACTAAAATAAAAGCAACATGACAACGTTGTTTACAACTCTACGTTTGGCGGGCGGCTTGTCAATGAATTAATTGTGTGCGACGTTGCCTTCGAGAACCTGCGAATTATTGCTGTGTTTACATTTATTTTTTCAAATATTTTACTTTTTTGGGATATTTTTGTGATTTTTTTGGAAAAAAAACCTTATTTATTTAAGAATTATGGTTCGTGGCTGTGTCGTTTGTGGAAAAGTGGATTATTTATTTCCGGATTTAACTTTTCATAGGTAAGTGAGGTTATGTAGATAAAATAATCTTGTTTGGATTACACAGTGGCGGGGATTTTTGTACTTGTACTTATACTAATTATGTATTATTATAATATTGCTTATTCATTTGCATTATTCAAATAGTTTCTTAAATATTTAAGTTTGTCATAGAAAATAATATGTAATTAAATCGGTAAATGTACAATGTACCTATTTCCTCTACGAAGAAATAATAAGTAAACCAGAAAGGTTCCCTTTGTGCCTTCTCATCTAGGTGCAGGGAGAATTCTTCTATGAATTTCTTTTCTCTTAGGCCCCATATTTGTAGTGTAAACAATCATTAAAATCTGTTGCTTGATTCTGATTTATTTTTAAGCTCCACGATAAAAGTGCAGGAGCCTAAATCTGGAGTATTATCTCTATATTATGCTAAGCCTCATTATTGCTTCTCTTACATTTTGTTTGTTTTCCAAATTAGGTTTCCTCAGGATCTAGAAAAATGAAAATTATGGTTTTCTTTAGTTGGTATTGCAAAAGGACAAGTGTTGCCAAAAAATCCATGGTTGTGCTCGGATCATTTTTTTCCAGAGGATCTGGCAATTAAATCTAATGGAGTAAGATTTGTTAGAAAGGGTGCCAATCCTCGACGTTGTGAAGGTGTTTTATTTATGGATGATGCATCTACCAGGTAAAAAATATTTTAAATTTTATCTGTAGGTACCTAATGATAATTTATATTTTTCCAGCTCTAGCTCAACTGTTTTTGGAACACCTCCACTTCCAAAAGAAAATACCGAGAAAAATACTAAGTAAGTACCTATCTGTTATTTTAAATTAGAAAAAAACTGTCTCAGACTATACAGGGTGTCCTTAGATAAACTGACACATTTTGTAGGTAAATATTTCGAAAACGGGAAAAGATAACGAGATGCGGTTTGTTCTGGGAGCATAAGGATTTTTTAAAGTTTTTTTTCACATCATTGCCGAATCCTAAAATTTGCTGAAATTTGGTTCTACAGACATGCGATTTTTTGAAATAAGATGACTGCCTTATTTTTAATGAAACACCCTGTATATTTTGTCATCGTGAGAAAGCCTGATATTTCTACTTTACAAAAATGTATAATGTTTTCCAATTATCTTCACCTTGCATCGTGAAAATTGCACTTTGTTGAAGAGAATACCATCGACTAACCAAAAAAAAAAATGAGAATTAATTTGTGTTTAATACTTTTATTAACTAATTAGCGCATAGTTAACTAATAATACAAGTAATAAACACAAATAAGTGCATATAAAACACAAATTAATTATTATCATTTTTTTTTTGGCCAGTCCAGGGTACACTCTTCAACAAAGTGCAATTTTTACGATTCAATCTCATGATAATTGGAACAAATTATACATTTTTGTAAAGTAGAAAAGTCATACTTTCTGACGATGAAAAAATATACCGAGAGTTTCATCAAGAATAAGGCAGTGTGTTATTATTGCAAAAAATCGAATGTCTGAAAAACCTAATTTCAGGACTCGTTAATACCATGAAAAAAAACTTTGAAAAATCCTTGTTCTTCCAGAACAAACCGCATCCCGTTAGCTTTTCTCGTTTTCGAGATATTCACCTGTAAAATGTGTCAGTTTATCTAAGGACACCCTGTATAGTGGTCTATGTAGATGTATTAAACGCTGTTATACCCATTTTTAAAATTATTATGGAGTCTCCTGTTCCGACCTCTAATATTGGTTCTGAAATCAAAAAGAATGCTTTATGAAAGCTTTTTTAATGTGCAAATAATTTTAATTATTGAAATTTATTCTAGGTCTGAAAATATTATTGAATTCTGTGATTTGACATCCATGCCTGGTCCTTCAAGAGCTACAGAAACTGTTTCACTAGAAGACAATGATAGTTCTGCTACAGAAACTTCATCAGAGATATGTGGATCACATTCTGAATTAAATGAGGCAACTTCAGCCAGTGCAAAAATTCAAAGCAAAAAGAGGTAATTACTACACCATACACCATCAATGTAATATGAAT